TCGGAAGGGGTGGACATGTTACGGAAAGATATGGTGAGCTACAAAATCTTCCGTACACAAAGTGGTGTTCATCAAGTGCGCCCCCTCTCCACTCCCACTTAACTTCATGATCAAGGAGATAGTGAGATGAACGCTGAAATATCTTCTGAACCAGCTTTTCAAATATCTTCGTAGATGCGGGTAATGGAACAATTGGGCGATGGGGTACAGTCAAGAGAAGGAAGGACATGGTTGGGAGGTTCTTTCAAACCGGGTATAGCAGCGCCATTGCATCATCATTGCATCATTGCACTGAAATACTCCGGTTTCTGTACAGCTCCACAAAGGTCCTCATGTCTGAGGTGAGTTGGCTGGGGATGTGCAATTATTTGAGGAGGGGGGGTTTTTTGGTTGCCTGAAGGAGCCTTTAGAGGTACAACGAAGCTTATATACGATCGCAAATATTTTTCCGATCTGGTTGGAGAGACAGCGTGGTGCGGCGTTTTATATGCATTCGAAGTTGTATTAGTTTTCACTGTAGTGTGAAAGATGGGGTTAGTGCGCGAACCCGTAAAGCCGGGGTTGCGTTTTCTGATTTGAAACATCTATAGCATCAAGGTGGTATATCTGTGAGTATCACGTGACGTCTGTATCAGGCTGCAGTACGGGCTGATCTGTTGTATGACTGTGAGACCTGGCCTGTTTGAGGAACCAGGGCGTTTTCGGATGTGTGACAACGGGTATCTCAAAACCACAGCTATAGTGGGTCGGTATCGTCAAATACGTACGGCGCCATTTAGGTATCGATTTTTCGATTGTGAACCAGAGATTTTTATTGAAGAATTTGCCTTTTCAGTCCTTGGGTAGATCATTTCCATTATCTGAGACAGTTGGATCGCATCGAATTCGGTCATCTTATTAGCTCATTTATTCGGTCATAGTCAACATGATTTCCGAAGTGAAGATAAGCTGCAATACTCTGACATGAACGATGAGTTGGATGGAGCCCATAGGAGTCCCGTTGTTGATTAGATTACTAATGTGGTTGAGTATGTGATGGTTACGAGTATCGATGTGGAAGACTGAGCTGTCGATTTTATTAAGTTACATTATTTCCGTATTGGGCTTACGACTGACAAGAATACACCCCGCTTTTGCTTCAACTTCACAGCGCCCAATAATGCCTACTTTTGCTGAATACCGCCATCGAATCACCGATGTGCACAAGGCTCCCTCGTTATCACCAAATGAACTAATTCAGGAAGCAGTGAGTTTACTTTTATAACAGTGGGTCTCCAGGTTCAGTGTGGACACCGACTCGGATCTGTGGACAAAGGTGTTTGTTTAGCACTTGGTGAGTTAGTCAAAACTTTCATTAATTATCTGTTTTAAATGATATCGCGGGAGCTGTTTAAGAGTCGTAATCGATCATTTATTTTTTCAAAATCCCGTTGGGTAAAAAACTGAGAACTGGATTGGCCACACATTATGTTTGTACCAATGCAACCAATAAATAGAAACGTGATCTGTTTAACGTTGTTGTAAAATTTTTGGGCATGGGGTTGTCAGGTAGACGCCGTATGGATATGAAGGAACACCGGTGGTCGTTGAACTGGTCTGTTATGTATAGTTGGACATTAGAGTCTGCTACGAGCATGTGCACGGGCCCCGTAGTTGCTAACCAAGGCTGGCGATATCGACTACAGTTACGAGTCTGATGGGCCGTCGTTGGCCGTTGGATTAGGATATCACGCATAGTTGGAGCCTCATTCTTATTGGCCCGCACAAGAACTGGTCTGGTGTCTACTAGATGTAGCAGACATAAGCAAGTGCGCGCACAGCCATGGGTATGACGGACCATCGTTGACAGTTAGATCAGGACAGTGCGCATAGTTGAGGCCCAATAATCGGCGTCGTACATGGGCAGTGGCCTGGCAGTTTCAAAGAGTATTTAAGGTAGGCGATATCGCGTACGGTCATGGGTATGAGGCCCGTCGTTCGCCGTTAGATGAGGTATGTTTGCATAGTTTAGGCCGAATATTCATCGGTTTGCATAAATGCAGGCCTGGTGTTTAGCATAAGTAGCGGAGATAAGCAAAAACGCATACAGTTACGAGCACGATGGATTTGGTTGGATTAGAATACCGGTTAGTCAACGTCGCACATGCACACGGACCTAGCAGGTGCAATACGTAGCCATCGAGTACAACATTGGGTATGACATGCCGTCAGATGAGTGATAACGGCTACTGTTATTACGGCGGTCACTACCTATAGGGCGTCATATTCATAATAGGGATGGTACCATTGTGTTGTTTATTTACCTGCAGCTTTCCCGTGACGCTGTATTGACTACAGGCTAGTATTGCATAATTTGGAAAAGGGATCGCCCTGAACAGTCCGTGCTGTTGTCTAACAATGTTGTACTTAACGGGAGTTGAGATCCATGGGAAAATGTGTTGTGACCAGGTTCGCCAGACAAAATAATCTTATTTGTTGAATCTAAGAAGTGTAAAGCAATCAAAAATCAACAACGGATCTTTCAGGGTGGAATTCACATTGGATACATTTTAGGCGTTTTTCATCCTTAATGAACACCGAAGAATGCCAAAATATGCTGAAGTACGATTTCGTGTTTTATCTCGGTCACAAAATGCAAACCATTGATGGTCCGTGACCTTGACATTTCACTCAATTAAACAAAACGCCACGAGCAACGTGCCATCGGGAGGTGCGAATGGATTAGGCCAGCTCCTTGGTGAATTCACGTCTTAGAAAACCCGCGAAAATAATTTGGGTTTTCTTCTGGCCACCGGCCACATTTGCACTCTTCAAACGTTCACAAACTTTGGGCGCCATCAAGACTGCACGTTTTTCAAACAATTTCTACCATTATTCGCACAGGCGAAAGATTCTGCTGAAGTTCTTGAACCAATGATGCTTCACAACTTCAATCCAGAATTAATACTCAACAAATCTAAAAGCAGCTGCCTATCTATCGTCCTATTTATACCCCGGGACCACGAGCCGAAGCATCAACATTTGGTCGAACGCCGTGAGCAACCTGGTTCTTTTTGGCATGTGCACTTTTTAACCTAATGCAGCGCAGTTTAAATGCTTCATCAGTATGCCAGTTATGGCAGAAGGAAATTGAACTACGTCTCTTCAAGGTTGTTGGTTGATGGGGATAGGCAGCGCAGCTTGACAGCAACCTGATTGGTCGCTTCTGGGCCCGAAATCTAGAGGCGATTGTTCTGAAGACCACGCAATGGAAAATGGATGCAATATCCCTCCCAAAAATTGCCAATGTTCACGGGTTTCTCGGTGTCATTTTATACAGTTTTTTAATCTGAATCCGATTGTTTCCCAAATTTTTGTGTAAGCAAAGTCCTGAAATTCCAATCGATTCATTATTCCGCATTCACCGTGCCGAACTTTTGAAGCTGAGCCTTAGACTATTGCCGTGGTGCCTTTTGCATACGGAAGGCATATGTCGGGCTCGAATGGGTGATTGTCAATCCCTTGGCCATCTGCATTAAATAATGAGGTGATACAAATTTCTTGAATATTCAAGTGGTGCCGGGGCTATTCTGTGCATTTCGTTAGATTTATAAGCAGCATCGTCCTGCTGTATGTTGTTGCATAATTTACTGGGACAGGACAATGAATGAGGAAACAGAGAATACCCATTAATTGTGTACTACAGATAGACGGAGTTGTTTAGTCAGTTTTCCAATTTCCATCAGTTCACACAGCCCTGTCCTATGGATACGATATAACTGCTCCAATAAATACCTACATGTAAAACATTACTTGTACCATACCTTTTTTGGTTCTGAAGGTATCCCAACTCAGTCATCAGAACACGAAACGACGACACAGCTCAGTGACCAATCACGTGCGAGGCTGTTGCCTGGTCCGCCGCTCTGAAGGTACCCAACTCAGTCATCAGAACACGAAACGACGACACAGCTCAGTGACCAATCACGTGCGAGGCTGTTGCCTGGTCCGCCGCTGGGTATAATTGCGCCCCTCGGATGAATTTAAACTCGTACTTGATAAAGCAGGAAATCAATCGCTTTGAATGTGTTCATCCTTGTATATATGCCGCTTATGACGTAGTCGATCAGCTCCGTGACACCGAGAAGGCTGAAAAAATAAGGAGTCACTTAATTGCTGTCGAAGATGCATTTGTGAACAGCCAAGAATGGACTCTATGTCGATCAGTCGCCGAAGTTCGATTGGTTGGTTGAAATGTATATTCATTTCTTTCCTGATAGGCGTTCCTCGGCTCTCACAATAGCGGGAAGTCCGCTTTGGTTCATTATTTCCTAACTGGCATTTACATCAAAGACCAATCACCAGAAGGTGAGCGTTGATTAGATCCCTTGTTAACGCTTCTGTGAGAGTTCATTTCCCGTTTCCCAAGCTTCCAGGCGTAGTTTCAAGCAACTTGGTTTCAGGCCTGTGGACATGTTTGTGGACGCAGTGGCCACCTGAGTAGGGACCAGTCGGAACACCACAAGACGCTGAGGGAAGAATCAGCGTGACAAGAAAGTCTGCATCTATTTTAGAACCGCAGTAAGAAGAGTAGTAGAGGAGAGGAAATCAAGCTTGGAGTCCGTCGAAGTGACGCACGTTGCTAGCTCAGTAGAATTATTGGTTAGGGAACCCGGGATTTGTTTACTCCACAGCGTAGTAAAGCTAAATATTGGGACAGGCACGAATTTATATAAATCTGGCAAACACTTCTCACAAACGGAATCAAGTGTGTACTGCGTCATACGGGTTGACAGTCTTTTAAATGGAAACGTAATAAACAAAATGGCTATTGTGAGTTTGCAAGTGGCTGGCATCATCAGTACATGGATGTGACACCAATACACAAGTGGCGGAACAGTTAAGACACGATTTCACACACGATTTCAACTCCACCTTAAATCGTTGCGGTAGGGGTAAGAGCCGCTCTGTGGTTTACGGTGCCAAACTAGGGCTAGTTATGCATGTCAAAAGAAACACATCCATGGATCCGTGTAGGTCACTTCGAAGTGACTACGGACTGTTCAGTCAAAACCCTGAGCCGAACTGCACTTAGGTCTAATTAGAGTATGCCTAGGTGTGGCAAAAAATAAGCTTACCCCATATCGCCAAGGAAACGCAGGTTTCAGAAAATTACTTATCTATCTCAACATCGAGGAAAACGAGTGTGGTAGGCTGATGTTATAACAGGCGTAATTTGAGGACTCCACCTGTGTAATCTATATGGGGAAATCATCAATATGTGAGTCCATATGTGAAATCAAGCGATATAAACACGGGTTGCTGACAAGCTAGGATCTGTTGACGTCAAAAGAACTTCACTGTGGTTGCTGCGGCCTTTATGCTCCCCTTTGGTTGTACCAAATTCTCACTCGGGATATGTTCGGTCCAAATGTTCCGAAATGACATTGCTAATGGACTTTTCTGAGGGGCTCTTCCGTATTCTGGCGGAGCTGTGTACACAGGGGATTATTAGCCTTGTACCGCTTCACGGACAGGTGGTTTCCGTCACTGGATGAGAGACTTGAGCTGTCCACCAAGAAAACAGTTGCCAATGGTTCATACTATCTGTCGGAAGACAGTGATGGCTTCGAACCGGGGGGGGGGGGATGGCATTAGAGTGCGAATTTACTGACCGGGAGGTCTGTGGCTCGAACCGGACAGCCAGGCACCGAAAGCGTCTTACAGCTGAACGATTTTTTCGAAGCGTTCTACCTTTATTCGTCTTCTCATGTGTTCTGATTCGGGCGTCTGTATCACCAGTGGTTCGCCAATGCTAACTTCCCCCACCGCACCTGGACTGGTTGTAGTAATCCTCAGAATTTTTTCCTGTAATGGCCGCATTTTCCTTGAAACGCCCCGGACCCTTTCGGATTCTTACAGATGACATTACATTCACTACCTCCAAGGATGCAAGATGGGAGCATCAAATTCAACGGACGGTTTTTGATTTTTTGGCTGAATATCTGCATGCGCTCGAAAGCAATTGACAACCTTGTATCTGTTGAAAGCTAGTTACAATGGAATGAGTCTGTGTCCATATCTGCACATCTACGTGGCTTGCCCGTGGCTGGTCAGCGGAAAATAAATGCTTGACTTAACCGAGGTATCTGCCAAAAGCTGAAGAAGTTCGCCGCCACTGTTGTGACTTCCGGCAGAACGTCGGCTCCCTTGGCTGCTCTCATCCAACTCAAGCTTCCATACCTCCGATTGGTATAAGCGTTAACCCTGTCTAGGCTTGGGCAACCTGGCAGTATCTCAGCCTTCGTGTTTCTTTCGGGTGGCATGTCGGCTGGGCACCGACAGGGTGTCACATCTGAACGATTTTTTAACGCTGCATTAACTTCGCAACAGGTTCAGTCTTTGGAGGCATGCGTGGCGCAGCTGGCTGGTGTGTGCTCAGCAACAAACAAATAGGGACGTGCATCATTGAGACCATGATTGAACTTCGTAATCGCACATCCAAGGGTTTGCTTTAATTTTTTAGCAATCATTTTTAACGATTCTGCAATCCTACAGAGTGTGGTACGTATACTAGCATGTTTCGTTGCGGTAGCATTAGGATCACTCGATAGACGGAGTGACGATTGTCTCCTTAGGTAGAATCAGTGGGCTCTGGGAATGTTCCAGATACAGGCTGTTGAAGCATGGTAACCGGCTGCCAGGTATGCACAGACCTCTGGCTTTATATGTACGTAGTAGGGTTCTGGTGAAACTGCTGTGATGACCATACTTAAGCCTTGGATTTGAGTTTCTGCTGGTCAAGAACTATCCTTATTTCGAGACTTGAGGATTTTAGCGACCGATTCCCGTCAACCAAACCGCATCGCAATCACCTGTAAAATGCAGTGAGGTTGAACAACTTAGGACGATCTAATGTGGCGGAATCTTAGAGCGAAAGTTGTCGTCGACCCGCATTAGTGTGTCCACACCGAATCCATTCGTTATGTATTATTATCACTAAATGTCATGATTGTACGAGGGCTGGGATACCGCCAGGGTTCCCACATCTATGCAGGAGGACGATTATGGTCCTCAACCAAAGCCTTTGGCTCCGAAGCCCAACCGCAAGGCAGCGGTGTTGATCCGGAAACGCAAGTACATTACCATTTTTACGGAACACGTCGCCACATCGTCGTCATTGAATCCTTTATCCAAACGTTTGCCTGTGAGCTACGATTATGTCTGCTTCGGAAGCCGTCCATCGGTAATTTGGGTTCAAGCTGTGACTAGCTCCCTTTGAAAGACAATCAGGTAGTTATTGATCCGTTTGAGGCCTAGGAAGTTTGCTTCCGCCCTTCACTTCGATTATGACACCGATACGAGAAGCATTGAATGAGATATTCCTAATAGATACTCTTTGAATAGATCTCTTGAGATTGTTTGAAGAGCAACTGAAACAGTCAGGCCGGCTCCGTTGTCCTAATCTACTCCTAACTTTATGATGAGTTTGAATGTGCCGATATCAGATTCATCGGCTGTGTCGATGCAATTCTTGCCGTTGACCATACAGTGAGTAAGTTCCGAGGTAGCCGGTGATTTGTGTTATCCTTTTGGCTTTTAGTGTTGTATCGGTGCGGCCCTCCTCGCACTTCTAACGCCACCTACCACCTCTTCGCCATTCTCAGCTACTTTTGCATCCTACCTAGACAGGAAACCATGCGCCCGTGCAGCAGCTTGTTTTCTAACAGCTAAAACAGCTACTAAGCTCGAGAAAGCTCAGTGATTAAGGCGCACTCTTACTGACCGGAGGTTCGAACCCAACATTAGCACCTGAACTGCTCCTGTCTAGGCACGGGCCACTTTGGAGCACCTAAGTTCCCATGCTTACTTTGGGTAGTGTGTCAGCTAGGCACGGAAAGGGTGTTATGGCTAAACGATCCACCAGTGGTCAACAACAGGACAACCCATTCTTACCCAGTTGAAGACAGCATCGCCAATTCCAGATATATAGGTCGTCTGGGGGAAGAAGCTTACCACCTTCGCACTCCTTTGACAGAGGACAGTACGAATTTACTTCCGGGCCGCCTCATTATACTATTTCTTTTAGTACAGGGATCCGCCGTCCTTGGTCGGGCCGCTCCCCATCAGCCTTCCTTGCATGACGGGGACTTGAGGAACTGACTTTCAGCAATTGTAAGCCCTCGAGATCATTGCAGCACTGAAGTGCGGCTACCGCGACAAGACCACAGCTTTAGATTGTCGCAGACATCTCTAGTGGTTGGATACTAGTACCCGTCTTCAGAAATAGTACTTGTAGCGAGTGAACTAAAGATTGCCTCCTGTTGTAACAATAATTCTGGCGCTTCTGAGTTTCGGTCGTCGTATGGAGGCATCGAAACCTTGGCTCGTGAACATTAATCGGGGTTTTGACCAGGTACAGGTGCGTCAGCCACAGGGGTGAGATGGCTCAGTGGTTAGGGCGCGAATTTACTGACCGGAAGGTCCGTGGTTCAAACTCGACCTCTGCCTCTCGAATTCCCCTGTCTAGGCTGGGCAACCTGAAAGTATCCCAGCCCTCTTGCTTCCTTCGGGTGGCATAGCATTCAGGCACCGGAAGAGTGCTACAGCTAAGTGATTTTTTTGCGCCGACCATATCTCCACACTCCGTCAGATTATGGTGTTTAACACGTTCAGACCCGATAGTACGTCCTAGAAGGTGGTCTTTCGAAATTCTTATTCACATCCTGCCTTGGCATCGCTGTCCTTGTTAGTTAGTTATCTCTGTTAGGATTGCTTTGATTGGAGCTCATCAGTGGCACACACTAGTATTTCCGTCCAGGTCAGCGCACACTGCGATGAGTGTGGATTCTACAAATCGTAATTGGCCTGCAGCTATTTCGGTGGGAACCTTGTGACAGACACTGGTTTACAACGATCAACCCAACAAGCCATCTACATTGGATTACGGTCACCCGACGTTTGTATAGATAATGAACGTGAATTATTTGACGGTTATTCCTGTGATCAGGACCACACTAGCATGGCCGATTATGTCCAGATAGCCTACCAGACAACATCATGGATTTCGGTTTCGGCCACTCACATTCGAATACTCATCTCTGAATTTCCTTCCGGATCCCATCTAAGTGTTGTGTACATGTAAAATATCTCTTCGTACATGGTTTACTTAGAGCTGCTCGTATTTCGGTGCACCCGATCCAGGAATGATTCTGTCTTCTGCAAGAGAATATCCCCAATGACATGAATAACATCAATTTAGCAGCATACCCTTGATGCATGGTTTACGGCCGATAAACTGAATAGAACTAAACCTGTATGCTATGCATATGTTAGTGGCCATCGCGCAGTGACATAGATTCTTTAATACACGAAAATCATACAAGTGCTGAGAAAACCTAACGTCAGGAATTCCCCGGGTGCCGTCTTGCAACCTACAAGGGCCTTATTACGTAATCCATTACTCCAAGCCATTCGGCTGAATTTCAAGTTTTTATTTAGGCTCCTGAAATAATATGTGATTCGTTGAGGAGTTAATTGATAAACGCAGTTTCCTAACCGTGTGTTTTACTGTTTTCTCCCGGTTGTATTTTTGTGTGGAGTATCGTGACATGAGAGCACGCCATTCAGTTTAATGTGACACTGTCGTAAGATGAAGAATAGCAACAACTACAAACACGGTCATGGACTATTGCATGTTTTTCTCACTCTCCAATCATTTTTTTGTCGGTTCGCCACATCAGCGACCCTAAGACAATTGCGCCAACTAAAGAAGACTGAATAAAAATACATAATTTTCCATTTGTCATCTCATGTACTGGGGGTGGAATCAATCATCACTTTATCGAGGTTGATTCTCTAGCTTCAACAGAGGGGCGAGATGGCATAGTGGTTGGGGCGCGTATTTACTAACCGGATGGCCGTTTCGAACCCGGCTTCTGCATCTCGACTTCCCGTATCTAGGCTTGGACAACCTGGCGCTATCCCAGCCCTTGTGCTTCCTTCGGGTGGCATGGAAGCTGGGCACTGAAAGGGTCTTACAGCTGAACGACATTAACTTCAATAGAATTCAGTCGACGTTTTCTTGTGGTTGGTTGAAGACAGTTATGTGAAAACTGGACCAGATTCGCAAACCATGACCACAAGTACTGTTCACATATTCAGGCTGACTTTGAGTTATTGTTACCCGAACTCACTCAGTCACGTACATACCGATAATCCACCAGAACCCACGTAATCCCAGTTGGTCGTATATAAATGGGTGAAGTCAAGTAAATTGAGTACCAAGGTGGCCGCCTGGACAGGTGTGCTGATTCTGAGTGTACTATCAGCACCTGACGACGGCAGATCATTCTTGGTCTCTAAGCTCAATGAACCGTAGTCGGACGTGCTATTACGGTCAGTATTTGGCTAGCTTGATGCTTTATTCTGTCGCACGAGACTGAAAGTGGAGCATATCTCTGCGAATACGAGGTCAGTGAGTGACGAACGACGCATTCATGACAGGTTATGGAAACAGGTTAGTAGGCCATCAGAATAGGAAATTTCTAGGACCTGTATAGCGATAAATTTGTTGGAGCGCTATTTCGATAATTTTGAGACCTAGGAGAAAATGGCCTGAGAAGTTGTTGTCCGTCAACTCTACCCGAAACTTTACGCAACTGCTGACTTTCGGTGTGATGATTTACTCTCTTAAAGTAAGCCTCCATAGGCTTTTCATCGTTCAGAAATATGCAACCGTTTGGTTTCACTGGTAGTTTCAAAAAATATGCTACTTGTCTGGCAAGACGGCACTGAAGCTCACAAACTGCCATAAATACACAACTACTGTTTTTGTGGGCCATTTCCACGACTGTTTTGCGCCCCACAATTCTGTTTCTTAGTGCGTCCGGAACCTTTCGCACCAGAATGGCTGCCTGCTTAAGTTAAGGGAATACGTTATTCCTCCGTAGTTGTTGGGTGCGTAGGAGAATGTGAATTCTGGACTTGCTTATTCCTCAGAAGCATTCGTTTGTTTACCGTCCGTTTGAGTACAGAATGACAACCTATGTCAGTTTTTATCTTCATGCAAGGTGCGTGTTTCCCACATAATAGGGCCCATTTTGCTCTACACCTCTCACCATACAGGTGGACGATTTAAGAAGCTTTGCTTCAACCAAACGCAACCATGTCTTCTACTTATCCGGGACGAGGCTGGGCCACCTGATGTACAACTCGCCAGCTGGATAGACGCGTTCGTCTTCGTAGTCAGCCTAGGCGATCTGGACAGTGTTCTGCTGGCTAACAGCTATTACACCATATTACGTGGCTTAGTTGACCTGTCCTCTATCCCACTGATTTTGGTTGCGACCCAAGGTAAGTATCGTAGCATCTTATCCTTCTTTATCGAGTCCAACCTGTAATACACTGATCACTCATCTTGTCCCATTGAGTAATGTCGTAATTCTGGGCATCTGAAGAACTACCCATTCTCAGTCACTGAAGCAACAGACAAATGCTTCATTCTAACTGGAACTCTTCATCACTGCATGCAAGTGGTGAGCCATCACGAAAGGACTTGATCGCTTACGGCTGGACGGGGAAGCACTGACTGTGAATTTCACAAATCCCTTGAATTTATCCCATTTTTTTTTACCTCGCTCGTGTGATTGTTGTTTTATAGACGTACAAGGGCGAGATGACTCAGTGGTTAGAACGCAAATTTACTGACTGGAATGTCCGTGGTTCGAACCCGACCTCTGCCTCTCGACTTCCCCTGTTTAGGTTCGGGGAACCTGGTAGTATCCCAGCCCTCGTGCTTCTTTTGGGTGGCATGGCAGCTAGGCACCGAAAGGGTGCCACAGTTGAACGATTATCTTTATTTTGCCACCCACAGAACAGGACGTTACGCCACGGTGGGTCGCCAAGTCGGGGCCGCATTGGGTACTGTGGACAAGGAACATTCTGTAGAAGACCTGCCTTTGCTCCGAATTGGCACCCACGTATTGCTCAAAACTGATATACAATCGTCAAGCACTGAACTTTTATTCTAAGGATCTCTCCGAGATCACTCAGCTGAGTTGATTTGTTGGGAAGTCCTCTTGTGTGTTTTAAAGTAGTATATGAGGTTATGGCCACGGCACATTCCATGTGTACCCACTTGCCGCCTTGCAAAGGGAGCATTACCCCCGTCGTAACTCTAGTGAGAGGGGGGTTGCTATAAAAAGGGTGTGGTTTGCCAACGCTTAGTGAAAGTAGTCACAATCAAAGTGGTACTGCGTCTTCTCTGTCGATGGCCTACGTGACCCTTTTTGCATCTAACTAGAAAGCCTTCAAGACATGATTTCTGACCGGTCCACGGCCAGCACGCTGCCACTTATCGGTTGAACCGTCTGAATAGAGTTTGCTCGTCGTTTGCTTGCTCCGCGTCCTGTGCTATTTATGCCTCGGACTGATGTCATCTCTGCGAAAATTCGAAGAAACGATTTGGCTGATATCCTTCTATTCCGATGAGATTCTCAGCCGTGTTGTTTTCAAACTCTTCATCCTTCATCCTGACGCTAATTGATTATTTTCATGGTTAGAGGGTGCCTAAACTGATGTCAGTTAATTACGCAATACTTTGGTGGTGAAGTAATTTCCCGGGAAATTAGAGAACCAAATTTCTTGCCATTTTCGTGGTCCTTCTATTGTTAACGTCTTTTTTCTGACGGCGTGACAAGTAACATACATTTTCTTGTGCCGTAATAGTCCGTCCTGGGGGAGGGCCTTAATCGAAAGTTGTTCTAAAGTACCGGATAGTGTAGAGATTGTTTCGTCAAAGGGGCTGGGCCCCCATGTCTTGCGAGCATAGTCCCCTCGTTTCCGCTTACTCCTATCCTCGATTCATTGGTTTCGTAAAACCCTTTGATGATTAGCTGTTAACTCGAACTATTACGCTGTCGCATCTGGAATATGTTTCATTCAAAAGACATTTCAGGATGTAACATACTAACGGCAGTCAGAAACTAAGCTTGGGTTGATTCGCAATACGAATCCAAATCCCCTTATGGTGCTTACGGAAATGGTGAACGAACCCGCTCACACTCTTTTAACATGTGACTAATGTTGGTTGTATGGTTGGATGTATCGAGCCTATCAGTTGAGCCGTCAACAAGGACCCACGCTGGGGCATGGTGACCGTTATCACAATAGTGAGTTGAATTGACGTCACTAAAATCCGTAACTTCCATCCTCTCTGGTAGGGCAGTCAACGGGTCTGCTTTCTCTATGCAACTCTACCATCCCATCAGGGGTCTGTTCAGCGACACGAATACCGGTTCATATGCATCCCCATCTCAACAATTCAGAATACACTAGTTTCGTTTTTCTGTAACTTTGAATTTACAACTAGGGAGTGCTTCGACAGTCGCCTCAAAGGGAGTTTATTCCAAATTCGCGTGACCACTTGCTGCTATAAGAGTGGCCCCCTTATCCATAACAGTGACAACAGAAGAAGGAGTAGAATAAATGTCACTTCAGAGGGCTGGTTCCTCCAAAGTGGCGTAGTGTAGACAGATTTGACTGTTAGAATGTAGGTCTTTGTCAGGGTGTGTAAAACTGATTTTCACGCCACTGTTTTGGCCAGTCCTGGCGCGACTATTCCGGTTAGTCGACACAAGAGCTAGGGAGGATTGGACTCGAGTTTCATTCTCACTACAGCTCCCCAACAGTGCCTATTCTTAGCCGTGCCGGCATTTGAACTCCGGACATGCTAGGCGGGCCTGCCACCAGTGCACGCTGGGCTCATCCGAATTATCTCGTCTACACAGGTGAATTTGTTTACGTTTTCACTGTATTGTTCTGCAACTATTGTGTGGCTGTCAGGTCATCATATTGCCCCGGCAACGAAACTTGATGCACCATGTGGTTCATGTCGTTGTTTCTGTAGTCGGTGTGAGTGTTGGACAAAGCAAGTTACTTTCCCATTGTTGTGTCTTGTTTCATCTGTCTTTCCTTGTCAAAGACAGCAACCTTACACACAATTTGTTTCAGATTCTGTTATCAATGGAACACCAACTCCAGAGGTGGAGGCTGGTCTACGTCAGCTAATCGCTACGATGGATTCTTGCCCGTACTACGAGACATGCGCGGCCTACGGGCTGAATGTCGAGGAAGTATTCACTGACAGTACGTTTTATTTCCAGTTCTTGTCCTAGGACTGGGTGGTATGATGCTTCACAAGCACTGATCAACCAGCACTGACATACGCGTTTCGTAGGTGACATGATCTGTTTCCTTTCTGCCCTCTGGTGCCTCTATAGGCAAGTTTCTTCTTATGGTATAATTTCACTTCAATCCTTCCAGGTTTGCTCGTCAGTATCAAAAAAACCCGTCACTCTGTTCACGGATTCCAAGCACATTGAACGATTTCAGCAGTCATTTGGGACAATGGAATTAGTCTCCCACATACATATCTCTTTTGATAAGATAAGCGTAAGAGAGGGAAATTCTGTTCGACAATCTTGGTTAGTAGGATGTTGCGAGTTTATCTGCAGATTGTGGCACCACTCTTTTCATAGAATGCGAACCCGAGCGTTTGAATGCTGATTGGCCTTCCATCCTATCGAACTGCAAGTTAGTTACACTGGCTACCAACCCCCCTAACCGGATTGTGTTGTCTTCATCTATGAGTCTGAATGCCGCGGATCTATTCCTTTTGAGAGGTGTAATGGTGGACAGCTTCTACTGCCTGAGGATGTCCCGCCCCCAAATTGTCTGGCACCTGTTGACCTATCTTCAGGCCTGGGAACAGCTGAAGTGGACCAGTCACGAAGTAGTTGCATGGTCTCAATCGACTGAATTCACTAGCGCACGTGGCGGTTGTCACCTTGTAACTCAGTATCTGACATCATTTTTCAGATCCATGCTATGTCCATTTTCGCTCTCACCAATGGGTTCGGTGCATCACTGAAAAAGGTTATGTGTACCCGTAGCAATGTGATCATGAAATGTCTTCGTGGGGAGGGGGAATCTTACCACATGCGAGGGCTTTGTTTCATATTTAGGCCGTGGATTGCAGCAGTTGTCAAAATGCTCCTCGATTATCCGGAAGATTTCATTCATGAGTTTGCACCGAAAACCATTCATGAACATAACTTTGGAACCTCGTGGTATAACAGATTCCGGAAAATACTGAATTTGTCTCTAAGTTAGAACGTATGAAGTGAGCCCATCTGTCACAGACACGTGCGGATGTGGATGTGTATTGATGTCTGCTGTTCTGGCTCCGTGGAATTCTGTCTGTACATGCTTGTGTAGGTTTGCCATGCAGAACGTTCAAATGGTCACGTGGTTCAGCGCATTTGATATCATAATTCGTGCGCTGGGATGCTTTGGTACATCTCGACGGGACAGACCAATGCGGAAATGGATGTCTTCAAATCCTGCGCATCGGTACATTTCGATGGGACAGACCAATGCGGAAATGGATGTCTTGCGTCTACTGTTGAAAAAACCAGTGTCAGTAGTGCCCTGATGACATGTCAGCTGTAAGGCCAGAAGGTGCTCATCGGGAAACTTAAAAAGCGTTTATCTGACTAAGTTTTTGAATTAAATCCGATATTATGCTTCAGGTACTCATTGTACGGCAAAGGGTTTATGTTTTCCTTCGCACACACGATTTGATTTTTTTCCAAATGCCGCTGGTCCTCTAACAGAGGTTGCATACCATGGATCGTTATTTTGGCCTTGTCATTATTTTGGTCTAGTTTTAATGCTACTGCGGGTATCGCTGCTGTTGCTGCTGTTGGTGACACGGTAAAAAACACTTGATGAGGGACATCTATCGGGAGCAACTTGATGACTAGTCGCGATGAGAGTGGGGATTTCTCCCTGAAACTTGGTCACTATCTTCCTCTCTACTAATTGACTGCGTGGCGACTAGCTCTATTGTGTTTCGGATACACCAATGTGATGCACGCCGTTCCTCTGGTCCGAATGACCTCCCACCCGAATTGCTCAAAGATGGGGTGAAATCCTCAATCAGACTTTGTCTGATCTGTTTGCTTGCATTTAGCAAAAGAAGTCTGTCCCAGACAGCTGGTGAGAGTCGGTGATATTGCCCATTTTCAAAAAGGGGGTTGTAATGTGTGTGGTAACTAGAGGGGGACCAACTTAACCCAAGTTGTAACGAGACTGCCGGCGTCACTCGTGCTTCATTGTCTTATGGGGGTTCGTGAAACATTGACTCTTGAGCAGTAAACGGGTCTCCGGCCTTATAGGGTTGTTGGGTTGACCAAATGTTCACACTCCGTCAGGTACTAGAACAACGCCATAAATACAAACGACCCGCAATGTTAGTATTCCTGGATTTCCAAGACATTCGACTCGGTTGTTCGCCCGTCAAGGAATGCCCTTGAAGTTTGTGAGCGCAATAATTTCTTTGTATTCCGAGACCTCTGGACGCGGAGAATATACGGAGAGCTCTCCAAAAGCTTCCACACACAAAGCGGTGTCCGTTGGGGATGCCCACTCTTCATTCTTAATTTCGTGTTCGAGATAATGGAATAAACGCTGGGAGGTCTTCGAAACCCCGGTGTTCGAACAGCTTGTGATGAAAGCCTTGTCGATCTGGAATATACAGACGATATCCTTCGTGTATTCGAAGAGTAGAAGGCACAGGTGCTTTTGCATCAACTGACCAAAGTCATCCCGTCCTTTGGTATGCACCTTGCACCCGCGAAGTGCAGGGTCATGCTCCTGGACATGCAGTCATTGAATACGCCACTTGCAATTCAATGGAAGGCACTCGAAGTTGTGGAGCGTTTTATGTACCCTGGTGGTTGTGTTGGTTCCGGTTGTAGTGTGACAGATGAGGTCAATGCACGAACCTACAAAACTCGGGTCGCGTTTGCTAATTTGCGACACATATGGCGTCAAAGCGGTATATCCCTGAATTTCAAGGGACGTATGTATCAGGCTACAGTGCGGGCTGTTTTGTTGTATGACTGAGACTTGGCCTGCTTGAGCAGCCGAACTGAGACGTCCTCATGTTTCCGACAATCATTGTCTCAGGACTATAGTTCGTGTGGGTTGGTGTCGGAGAATCCGTAACGAGTCAATTCGAAAGCGGTTTTTTTCGGTCGTGTAACGTGAACATCCATTGAAGAATGTGTCCAGCACAAGAAGCCGTGGTGGCTAGACTATGCATTGCGCATGTCAAGCGATCGTCCGCTAAAGAAGGTGCTGTTTTCCGTGCCCAATTCAGAGTGGCGGAAGCAGGGAGGCAACCAACCCTTTACCTGGCAGAGGTGTATGAGAGAGATTACGGAACATTTGGATGCTGTCGGTGCTACTCGTATTCCAGGATGAGGACCGCGAGATCCCCACTGCGTCTAGTTGGAGACGCCGCAAGATGTGGCTGTTAATTAATGCCAGTGGCGTTCTTGTTGTCAGTTTCTATCCAAGTTGTCTGAGTAAGTGTCTGAAGGGACGATTGTAGTAAGCTAGTACTAAGTCTTTTTCTCATCCGCTTTTATTTTTTTTTTCACAATAAGGCTTTCAAATAAATCATGGTTGTGCGGCAGTGAAGCATCGGTGTTGAACTCTGATTTCATGCTGTCGATGATGATGATGACCCAGTCGAGTGAGGCCGTTGGGCTCCGGTTACCATAGGCGCTAGTCTGTGTACGCAACCGCCTGAAGGCTGTATACTCGGTGTGGGTCTGAGGGGAGGGGAGGTTGTAAGTGGAGTGCTAAAACTGTCAGCCTACTAGCTGCTTGTCCATACTGTTAAATCCCGTGGGGACAACTAACCAGAGGATGGTGGGTGGCCCATACCGCACCTAAAACTCAACCGATGCACACATGGCTGGCAGGTGTCGGCTAGTAACCAGGTTGTTCTGCACCGTGGCGGTTGCTGGAAGTCACTTCTACTGCCGTTGTGTACCTAATGCTCCAGATTGTTAAGACCAGTGGACTGTAAATATGCACTCGTATGCACGCACACGCAGTTATCGCAAATATGGGTTCAACCTAGTTGTGACGAGCCGGGAACACCTGCTGATACTGAATGGATCGGTTTGAGAAATATTCAATGTTCAACTGGTGGTCCGGCTGCACAACTTGTTATCAACACACCCGCAGGTTAGCAAAATCAGCTCATTCAATTATCAGTTCATGAGTCAGACTGAGCAACGGTTGAGATGTTGGGCGAAAAATTTGCCAATGGCAATGCAGTGTTCCTCTTAAATTTATACTTTTCAGCTCAGTGAGATTGGATTGAATGTCCAGTGGTGTGCGAGTCGACCGTCATTGTTATGGTAATTTTAAAGATAATTCCATAAGGAATCCAAGAATATTCTTAAAGCGGTGTCCCCTATTGAGGAATCCTAATGAGTATGCTACGATACGGCGTTACTGGATTTAGGATTCGTTTTACGTCTGTGTTTCCTCTGTGTATCATCCATTTGTTGATAGCGTACTCTGATCGTATGCATACTTGTATATACCTCTTATGAAGCGTTTGAAACCAAGTAACCACGTAACTAAGTAGGTTCAGAACCTCGTGCACTTTCCTAACGATTTTGCTTTTACTGCACTTGCAGTTATGGCCAGAGTTCTTGCCGAAAGGACTGCAGTTTCGAAAGCCGCACCCATCGGGAATGTTGATGCGGAAAATTCATCCATCCAACCTTGTTCAACTTCCGCATCGATACCCCTTTCAACTCAGTCTACCACAAACTCTGCCGGATCGAACCAGATCGCAGTGCGCGTGCCTTTTCAGCCAACCACTCTCCGCGGTCCAGCGGAAACACAGGTTAGCTTGGTATTGTGCTTATTCCCAATGTGTGCTCTCCTTCGCAAATAAACCAACCCGCTTGTATGACCACTGGATAGTATGATGCATACGGTGCACAGGACTCATCGGTTATCTTTGTCCGGCAATAGCTCCGTGCGAGCTAACATATGTGGCGTGTATGCATTACCAATGGGTGTCGTAAAGTGAAGATTTGTCTTGGTCAGAGCCTTCCCATCTTTACCCAATGTTTGGAAATAGTTGGAGTGCATCAGATGACTGTTCGCTATTTTAGCATCGTTTTTGCAGAACGTTGTTACTCAGGCGGTAGCTCATATTTGTTTGCATAACAAACAGTGGCTTGATATCCACCCAGTTGATACAGGGTCGACGGCCAGAGAGCGATGGAGAGTTATCATGGCATCCTTCCATTTAAAACGAACTGCCAGTGGAGCGAAAACACAATGTTACTACGAGCGATTCCGTCTGGTTTCCGGATTCTCTGAATTCTTTCATCTTTCTTCTCACGGAATAACATTTGGGTTTCATTGACAAAGGCGTGCTATTGGAGGTTTATAAACATGACATGGTCCTATTCGATGCACAATACCGTTTCCTGGGACCGCCTTCGCTTCGTCGTGACACTCTGTAGCTGAATCTCGCTCAGGGCATCATTGCTTTAGTAAATCCTCTTGCGCGTTGGGGAATATTCGATCAGTTACAGAACCGAGAACTACCTCCTTGGGGCTCTGAGGATTCCAATGCTAAAACCCGTGTCACGAACCTGGTCTCGGACGGGTTTCCGTGAGATGTCAGATTGTCCGATTTCAGACAAGGACGACTCAAAAGCCAGTGTTGATCTCGAAATATGGACTCCTGAGCTTCGTCGAACTCTTACATGGGTTAAAAACATGATTTCTTTTTTAGTTGAGCTCGTTCCGAGAACTGACAAGGCGGCAAAATAAGAACTTCCTTCAGATGTTTGTTCACCATTTTGCTTTCTGGCAAAATTAGGATCTGCATTGCTGATTAAGTTAATTCCGATACAGTTGGAATTCACACAAGTGCTCGGTCCGGTATACTCATTTGCATCAGGCTTTTGATCCATTTGTTTATTCATTCCGCTTTTCACATTTTGGAAGTACGGTCACCAGGACCAGTATTAAGTGCTGTCTCGTGGGATAACGATCTCAGTCGGTTTTAATCGACGCAGTTTAGTATTTGTTCGTTTGCAGCTTTAGTGGCAGTGATGGATAAGATGTGTTTACAATGCACGGATTCTGCAGCCCCACTTAGTCCGTACTTTTCCATTGACAAAACTTTTCCGCATCGAACTAAGTGACAAAGCAAAACAAGGCTGCAGCATGTGAAATGAGAATACTGTCAACGCAGTGTTCATGTTAGTTTAAAAAAAAGTAGCAGCCATCCTGGCGCATACTCTAGTGCAACGCAGTGCTGCAGTATATCGGGGCATAAGATGGGTCTCCATAGTAAGCAGTGGCCTACTTGGTTTTTTAACGACGAAATTTTGTTTTATATTGAGGCCCGTTTGCCTGAAGCTAACGTTGACGAATTGGATGAAGAATATGGCCAGTATGGGCCTGAGATCACATGTCTATCACTGGGCTCGGAATGAGATGTGATGGCAAACGGTGTGTTTTAGAGGTCTTGAGTGACGGCATCATTTAACGCAACACTACCCTGACTTTTTTTGCTAGTGTGAGGAGATTTGTGAATTTCAATGGAGATTCTGTTCCGTGAGTGAAGCCACTATGTGCTGAAAGGCCGAGAAGCACTGTGCTTCACTTACAGGATGCAGTCTTCATTGAAGCCACTTCAACGTGTACTGTTAAATCTTGGTTACTGCATCGCTTAATGCCCATCAGTTTCCAGTCGAGACTACTCGAAAAGTGTTATGTGTATACAATGGACGGCAACCGATGGCCACTTCACTCCAATATTTCAAGGCAGTGGCTTTGGGCGTACAGTCTCGTTCAACGCCTGGATGCTTGCACAATATGGTTGCTGGACATATTTTTATCCGTTCCTCTTCGTGGAGCCTTTGTCCATAAAACTCACGCTTTATTTTCAGCTAGGTGGCCGATTTCGGGCTCACATTTTGGTCGCCATGAGTTCCGGAGCTCCACCTTATCTGGATAGGATTTTGAGTTTTCCAAAAGCTCAAAATCGGGTGCACTGTCTCTTGCTGTAACTTGCTTAATGATGTATTCTTTTATTACTAACCGTTTTTGAACAGAACGTCTTAGTATTCGTCTGATGGAATTAAAAATCCGGAGATTGTGTGGCTTGTATTACTCGGTGAAACCGATTGGTCAAACCGTGCTCCTATATCGTAGCATAAAATTGGTACACGACACCTGCGTATAGTTGTTATTCAAAGTAACAATTCCTGAAAGTGACAGACTTGCTCGGGTGGGAATTGGTTCCCCGTGGCATTCATGTTCGAATTCAGACCTTCAACGATGGCAGTATAAGAAAATAATAAGGCCGGATGGATACTGTTTTCGGTTGACCTTGCGGGACAGGACAACGCTGCGATAAGCTGATGAAAGCTACTAACCTCACAATGAACAAAATCCACAGACAATATCGATTTAGCACATCATTACTGAGTACTTCTTGAATGCATATCCAATTAGGTGTTAGACTTCATCATATGTCATCTTCCAATGAAGGATACTTTGAATCCAGTGAACAGCATCGCATCACCGAAATATATCTTCCTACCTTGTGCATTTGACCGTGAGGTGGTAGTAGCGATCGTTTCTTCCTTGTTGAAAACGTACCCTGTAGGCTAGACTAGCTGCTCAGTGAGTCATTTTTAAACCGACAGAAAACATACGTTGTTGTTGGTCGGTAAAACATTAAACTATCATCAAACTTTTATTTAATGAAGCGCACATACTACAGTCTGAATCGGCCTCCCAAACAGGATAGCATATGTCGTGTCCTACGGAAAAAACCTATTTGACAGACTTGCTGCGCATTCTATACAAGGACCGTTTCAAATCATACCAATCACTGACTGGGAATGAACACCTGCTGCGTGTGCACATCTCTGGTGGTTGGCAGTTAACTCACTCTTCGGTGCACAGTCTTTTAATTATTCCCTTAGTCAGAATAATTGCGAGTAGGTCGCACTAGAAAATCGCACATTTTCGGAAAGAAAGAAAGCGTTCAGCTGTAGCACCCTTCCGGTGCCTAACTGCCATGCCACCCGAAGGAAGTACGAGGGCTAGGATACTGCCAGGTTGCCCAAGCCTAGACAGGGGAAGTCGAGTGGCGGAGGTCGGATTCGAACCACGAACCTTCCTGTCAGTAAATTCGCGCTCTAACCACTTGGGCCATCTCGCCCCATTTTCAGACAATTAGGCATAAAGGGAACCCAATGTGGTAGGTTCGTCGGTCGGAACACGGTGTTTGAAAAGTTCACTCACGGTAATAGATCATTCGTCTGCAGCTGACCTTTCACTTTGAAATGGAGGTGACTCTGAAAGTCGACCTTGACTGCCTGTGGATTCGCCTCTGGGTTTTCGAAGTTTGAATGTTGTAGGAGTTCTCAGGTTGAAGAGCTGAGAATCACTGCATTGCGCCTCCTTTCTTATTGGAAGTCATCGTGACACATGATTTCTGATTCCACAGACCATTCAGCCTTCGGTAGACAAGTTGCACAGTTATGGATGCATTGTGACCACCAAAATGGTGTCTCTTATGAGGTTAACCACAGAATAAGGTCGACTGTGCCCAGTTCGATCAAGCAGGTACCGCTTTTGGTTAAAATGCAGGGTATTATATATCATTTTAATAAGCGAATGGGTTTTTTGCGATGGAATCGAAATGCTGAGGCTGGTTGGGGCACATCGTTGTAGGCCAGACAGTGTGTGGATTTCGGCAAACCAAGGACAATTTTTGCAGTGTTGCTGCAGAAAGAATCGGAAACAACTCAATATAGATAAAAAAAACCAGAGTTGCTTTATTCCCCTCAATGCTCCCTACTTGATTTGGTCTGACCTTACTTAGATTGGCTGTAGGTATAGTACATATTTACGAGGTTTATCGTGAACGACATTGAATATACTTCACACAAAGAGCAGCTGGTAACTGATGAATCATCACCATTCCACAACGGGTGATAGTTATATATTCAGAACCTACGGGTTTGAAAACAGGATATTACATTTGGCAAATCTCACGAACACTTCTGCCGACAGCGCGTGCTGGTATCTTCGTGGCTATCGGAAATTCACCCCAGGCAAGGTTACCCCCGCAACCGTCCCATAACATTCATTCGCTACTCATTTCAGGAAGAATCCAACGAGCCAACATTTTGCAAGTGTAGTACTTTTTCAGTATACTGACGAAATCTACACCGCGCTTGTGATTTCTGAAGAAATAAGATCACCAGCCGTTACTATCGTCCACACACACAACACACGTATGTGCCCCCCCTCGCGAGATCTGATTATGACTTGACCGTACAGTACTGTGCCTACAAATGCTACTGTCCAACCATATCGAATTTCGATCCATAATTGACACAATCAGTCCGAGTAACTAATCCAACCGGTAAACTATACGACATACATTGTCTAACTTTTCTTTGCAAGCCTCATGAGCCTTTTTGTCTAATCATAGCAATGCGATACGTTAAGTCGGGGTCTGATTTGTTGTCAGGTCGTTGGGCCGGGGGATCGTGAAGGATGCATAGCGATGTACAATAGTTCTGGTCTCATCAATTTAGTCCACCACAGTATACTGATGGAGTTTCGTTTGAAGACTTTGCTCGTCGCCAACCAATTGAAAACTGCGGTCAATTTCCACACCATTGATCAGGTAATTCAATGGTTCAGTTTAGACTGATAAGCACTTTGTCAAAGGCTGGGAGTTTGAAATTCAATAAAAATTCTTCAGATATGCTGTTCCATTGGTGACCTTATGTGGAACTGAGACGGTTTGTGGAAATTTCAATCTGGCTTAGGCCTTATCAAACCTTGTTCCCTCGCGTGAAATTACTGGACCGGATAAATGGATCAGACCTGGGTAACTTCGCGGATAGTATCGCAGATGTGCTTCATTACCCGTTTCGTCTTATCGTTAAAGGGGTAAAGGATGCTTTTTCAGAACTCGTTGAGCACTCCGGAACACCGAAAATTGCCTGCAACTTTAGGGTCGAGTTAGCGGTTGTTCTCAAAGAAGAACGAAAACTACCACTTAATTCATCGGGAACGGAATTTTCCAAACATTTTGTTCCAGTTGGTCTCCTATTTTGTTGTGTCCATTTTCTACTTTTTCGGCGTTTGTATGCTATCTGCCTTGAAAATCCTTCCAGTAACTGCTGTGTCACCCAGCTGACGGCAACCAACGCCCAGAACCTCGTTCCATGGGATTCGCAGCTGGAAGAGTTATGGCGAAAAGTCAGGATCATCCCATAGTCCCGTCTGTGCTGTTTGATTCTTCCCCCCACCTCATTATGGTGAAATAATACGGTGGCGACCCAGTACAAAATTCTGCTATACTTTGTGTCTTACACTGTGTTTGCAGAAACTACGACTAAGATAGTTTCAGATTAAATGAAACTGGGTGATGTTTCGCCAACGTTGGCAAAATGACAGCGGTATGTGGTGGTATGTTTACTACCCTGGTGTTAGCGTCAACGTGTCAACGTCAAGCTCGGTGTAGCTCTTTACTTTGATAGTAGTGTCAGCCAATAAAAACTAAACCCTTCGACTCTTGGTGTGCACGACACGAAGTCGAAAACATCCCGTTTCACTAGGTGAATCAACAGGGTTATGGAACGTCATTATCCTTCATCCAGGAGTGAATTCTTCCTGAAACCATAACACATGGATTGATAGTTTGTTTTGGTTTGACTGCTGTGAGCCACATCCATAAAAATGACTTTTTTACGGTTAACTCTGTTGACTCTGTCACGATTCTACAGCAGGGCCCCCTTGGATAAGTTCGGTCTTGAATGAAAAATACTCGTCATTGCGTAAAATTGCTGCATTCACTTGAAGGTTTTGCAGAACACGACCGGATAACGTCTGTGTGTAGGGTGGGTGGGTGACGGGTCGCCAACGCATCATTCTTTTCATTGTTGAGCATAAACCTGGTTGGGATTTCCCGGTGGATCTCGTATTGAAAGCATGAGTTTCTGACACTAATCATGGTACATCAGTTTACCTTTTGTGAATTTTGTGTGTAAACAATTAATCACTTTTCAAGCGAGGTGTGCGACAGTGTTTTGGTTCATCGTTCGAAATAAAATCTGTACTTTGCCTCCTCTTTCCAGCGGGGCACAACATGGTGATTGTCAAGACACGAAAACCCGGTTGTTTTGCTGGATTTCTTATCTCCTACATATGTTACAATTGCTTGGGTACAAGTGGATTTAGTAGTGCGAGTTTTCTCAGATCCAGGGAGAAGCAACTGAGAAGTCAGAGAGATTACGAGACACAGGCTTTCAGACTGGCAACTTGCAGCCTTTATCTCCGGGTTGTCTGAATTATTGTTTCTTGTGCCTTCGAACTGAATAGCAATGTAAAAACGAACGTCTTTTGTGTTTGTTTAGCATGGTAGCAGTAATCTCCCTTTATTTATTTACACTGGTACCAATCTTCGAGTTTGTCTCGTTATGATTCACACCTACAATCTGATATTTTCTCCCGAACATGAACAGACTCATCTTGAGCCAATGCGCGCTTCTGGTCCATCAGCCCATCCCGAATCAGTCAACTCCGTTCCATCCCAAATTGTCTATCTCTCCTCGCAGACAGTTTCACCTCCAGCTCTGGCACCTCCCATTTCTCATCCAATTTCCCCGCCCCTCTCATCAATGGATCCGACTTCTCTCCATCCCCTCATTAATTCTCATGTTCCTCCTGCCGGAGTACAGGTGAACATGAATCCTCCTGCTTTGCGTATGCTTCAACCATACCGAGATCTACTACCCACAGTTCCCAGCGGCAGTATCTTTCCGCCCAGTAATTTGCACACGAGTTGGATTTATCAACCACCAGTGGTGAGTTGGGTTAGCTAAGCCTGATCCATTTAGTAGTGATTGTGATGAATACTTACTCTTGCTCTGTCTTTAGTCGAAATGCGTAGAGCTGTGAGGATGGACGCATGCAAATCATTTGCGACTTTTCCTGCAATTAAAGTTACCAAATTATCCAGGGATCCATTTTTGCTCAGTACCTCTCTACTAAACTCAGCTTAGGCGCCCTACCTAGGTCTCGAGTGGCGAAATCAGTGATGGGCACTCGCCATGGAACTCTTATCACACTGAATCCAGGCCTCCAAACGACAGGAAAGCGCGTCGAGTTGTCCACCTGAATATAAAGGTCGGTTTTGACATAGTAATCAGACGATTAGCATCTTGTTGGTGATCTTCAGTAAGAACGAAAAGCGAGAAAAGTGCTCCCCTTGCAGAGCTAATCCCACTGGCACAGTAGGGGGATTGTTTCGGTGAGAGCGTTGCGAATCCTCAAAGAGGCGATTAGAAAGCAATTTTTCGATTGTGCAATGAGTAATTCTATTGGACAATGTTTCCAACACCAGAAACTGCGTTGATTGGTTGCGTATGCCTAATCATCGTTCACTGAAGAAATTGCTGTTTTCCATGAGCAACTCAGTGGTGGAAGTAGAGAGGTAGCCAACCCTTGACCTTGGCAGAGGGGTATGAAGGAGATTACGAAACGTCTGGGTACTGTCAGTCAAAAAGTGAACTGACGACTATCGTCTAGCCTCATGTCCAACAGATGATCATTAGGTTCGATTCGGCCACTCTAAACTACCCGAACAACTACTCATATCTGCACATGTTTAGCGATAGGAGTCGCTTGGGTACAGGGTTTGTGAGTAACTCAAAACGGTCCGTCCTGTCCAGGTCCAGAAGACACGCACAGTGACAGTTTCGGTTTTAACGCATATTTTCAAACCTGTTAGCCCCGCGAAATGAAACTCCGCTGGCAGTTTTTCGTATGTCCTAGAACCGTTTGTTGCTTCAGGTTCTGTACCACTGCTATCGACAAATGGATTTTCCCGAATTACTGTGGCCTGGCTTGGATGTAACTAGAGCAATAAACTCACCACATTGATGTTATCAGTTCGGTTGTGCTTGGGCGTGCAGTTGACTGCGGTGGAAAAATTGTTGTTTGCTCATTATCATTCCGCCTGGGAGATGTTTCGATTGCGGCATCCCCTTGTCTGTCCCAGGACCTCTATAAACCCTATTTCTGTTAAATCGATGTCCCATTCACTTGGAACCAGATTCGGGTGTGGGTCAGGATTCTAGCTTCATCAATCAAGCATTTTTGCGCTACTTAACGAAATCCAGCTCTTTATGAGTGATGTGAACTGTTGCGTCGTACTGTTCAAGTATCCTGTCCTCCTGTCTATCTATAGCAGCGAGCGGATATATTCAGCTTTCAGCTGTCAGGAAGTATCCAACATTGTCATTGTTCCTACTTTGTTCATTTAGTCGACTGGGGATGTGACAAATTCGAAAGACGGCGCACCAGATCTGAGAGCGCGCAGCCTTATATCAGCTTGGTGGCCCGATGTCTTCGGGGATGACGCGAAATTGAGGGGCCTGTTACTGCCTCTAACGAAAGACGACCAAGCGGTGCCATGGGCTCGGTTAAAGTGAACAGTACTGTAGCAACGTACAGACCCTCTCACAATCGATGCGGTAGTAACTGCTTAGTCCTGTCGTTTTCGGAGTGATTTGCCACAGTTTACTCCTATATCGTGTCGTTCACTTTATCGATAAGCTACTTTGGTGTTCATATGAAATTCACACTTCATCACTTTGACACCCAATTATTCTGCGAAATTCCCAATATTAATGTTGTTGCACTCAACCGATTCATGTTTTCCAATAGATCCCACAGTGGCTACAAATGCCCCCCTTTATAGGAAAATTCGGCAATTCAAATACATGCAAATGTTCAAAATCGAAAACTCAAGAAAAACTTGTCTTCAATATTTTGGTGTTAATTACCAGTTTTGCGTTAGTGGAGATAGCTGTTGGTGAAAAACATCACACTGCCACTGATCGCCAGAGGTTGAACCGCCGTCCATTTTTTGGCTCACACATCAGTGTTAAGAATCTTTGACCAAAGTCCAAATGTCTGCGGCTGAAGGATACCACCGTCCACTTAAGCACGTAATATTAGAGATGGGCGAAATGGCCCAGTTGGTTAGAGCGCGAATTTACTGACCGAGAGGTCTGTGGTTCGAACCCGACCTCTGCCTCTCTACTTCCCCCGTCTAGGTTTGGACAACCTGGCAGTATCTCCGCCCTCGTGCTTACTTCGGGTGGCATGGCACCGAAAGGATGCTACAGCTGAACGAATATTAGAGTACCTAGTAATGTCTGTCTTTGTAGTCGACAGGGGATTTAAGTACAAATTCGACACTGTCATTGACCTTGAACGTAAAAACACTATCAAAAACACGTGAGAAAAGCAGGATTGTCTTCACCATTCATGTGACAAGGCAGTGGGTGAATGGGCGTTGGAGAATATAGTCTCATCAAAAAAAAACAGTAAACCGACGAGTCATTCAGGTCGATATGTTTTCGCGCCATAGGATCTGTGATAGGAGTTGAAACGACTCCATCTCAAACTAGTTGGGGGTGCGTCACAACTTTGACGAAGTGGCACCATCCTGGCAAAACGTCATCAGCTAAGAATCACGAAGATCGCGTACATCCAGTGTACTGATTCATGAAGGTGGCTGATTGAGCACAGTGTCATTAAGGGTCCTACGTCTGTGCTGTAGAGAGATACGCTGGCGTGCATTGTTTTTCTTTCCTTAAAACGTTTGGTGAAGTGAAGGATTTTGCGATAGAATCTCTAGCAAAACACTGTTTTCAGGGCAATGGATGAATACACCAGTTTTGACTAGAGAAGAAGCTGTACAATGGATTCGAGATCTGTTGTTGAAATTCAGTCTCACAAATTAAGTTGGGAAACTCGACAAAATCCCGATTTAATTTACTTTTTCTGACATTCTTTAGCCGAATGATCTGCATAAAGTTCGCCTCAGGTTTCGGTTGGTGCGATTTTCGAGATATCACGGTGTCCTTTCCTGACGGAACATACTACTCATGAGGTTATTGAATTTTCTAGAGCCTTATCAGTAGCGTGTTCCGTCAAGAGAGCTGACTAACTGTGTTTGATCATATTACAGCAACTCGTTTATCGACCTAGCCATGCGTTGAAAGATGAACTGAATTATCGCCCAAAGCGTTGTCATTACACAAACTAAAAAAAACTCTAAAGGTCCGTTGTGGGACGTTTTTAGCGTTAACACTCACTTTCTACAACTTGATTAGCTTTTCACAGCTGCAAGCTGTGTACATCGAAGGCAAGAAGTAGATGGAGAGAAAAACAATTCCGGCCAGCTGATTATATCACGAAAAGTGATGTATTCTGCGCCCGAACTATTCGCGCGGATCGAACTATACCGTTAAAAAACTTGTGTAATGGCTGCACTTGTACTCGTTATATTTGTATCGAGCTTTTCGCATATCATGAACTTGTCGACTTCATTTGAAATTCACTGGTTCACACTTGGTTCCACAGAAGAATAGATAATTTAAAACTACTGTCTAAATAAAACCAGGTTCTTGCTAAATTTGACTTTTTATGACGATTTTTTTAGGTGCTTTGTCTGAAAAACTCGGTCTTTCCACAATGTGCTCCTTGACTGCATTCATCCACGTTCTAGTAGATCGCACCGACTTTTCTGTTCCGTTCGCCAGCCCCTCCCCACTGCAACTCCTGTTCTCAACCCTCCAACGATGGCATCCCTCAACCGTCCGTTTGCTTCCCTTGCTATTTCAAATGGAACCCATGTGTCGTATTCTGGTCGCCTTCAAGCTGGAAGTGTTCCTATGTACCGCGATCAAGAATCCGGAGCAAATACTCAGCTTTTCGGAGTGTCGGTTTCGGAACCTCATCCGGGGCTTCCCTACATGCCTTGGCAGTGTAGTGGCGTGATGACGTCACTTCCGATGTCCTACGTTGTCGATTACCCAACTTTGCGGGACGGATCGTTGCTTCCTTCGGGCAACTTGTTCCAATCCTCGGTTGGTTTTTTATTTGCCTTACGTAGCCCTTCACATCCTATGAAACACCTGTAATAATGAGCAACACTTTGACGAAACCGTCTTGGCTTTAACTAATTTGATTCTATCTTAACGTAGGCACCTTCAGTTTGTAATCTAAATTACGGCAATACCGGATAATTCTTTTTAATCTACTCAGTTACATTTGCACACATGAATGATTGTTTTAGAGTTTCAACTAAAACACCTTGTGGTATGAAAGTGATTATTGGAAAGCGACACTTCTTGGTGTTTGTACAAACTCAGTGTGGCTCAGTGGTTAAGTGACCGGAAGATCCGTGGTTCGTATCCACCCTTATGCACCTCGACTGATATCTAGGCTCGGGCGACCTGGCAGTATCTCCCCTTATGCTTCTTTCAGATGATGCAGCGGCCAGTTGCCGCAAGCGTGTTGCAGCTGAACGATTAGTACTGTATTTTTTTATGACGCCACATTATGCTTCCTACCCACCGTGTCCATAACGGTTGCTGAAAGTTTATCCTGTAGGTGTTCAAAACCTATCGCGTGTGAATGGTGATCACCGCTTAGGGAGATTTAGAACCTGTGGTGCCTGATTTAACTAAAGAACACTGGCAGTTTAACGATGTAAACGTTTTAAAGAGGGACGCATTGATCAACTGAGAAGTGGGTTTGGGTGTGCCCTGAATAACCAACAAGATGAACTGAACGAGACAGATAAAGTAATTTCCTTGCTATCCCCTCGAGACATTCGGGAAGGTGGAGAGTGGTGTAGTGATTGAAGTGACAGAGAACGACAATGAGTTGGCTATTTCTAAACATGATCGTATCACGGGAGCTTCCAGTTTCTAAATTGGACTGTCTGATCATATTTTTCAGGGGAATGTGGAAACGCACACATCTCCGATATGTGGAGCTGAGGAAAGTGTTCTGGTTGAATCCAGTAGCATCTCTCCCGGACCAATGAGTGGAATAATGCGATCCCCCATGATAAGGGAAAGTCTAATCAGGATACGACACAAAAAGACTAACATGCTTTTGGCACAATCTTTTGAAAGGAAAACTAATTTTCAAGGGACAGGGTTATAATTGATGCTCTTTTACGGCGATTATGACGGAACAAGTCAGAAGGAATCAATGCAAGGCGTTCGTACCGCAAGGACGATTGAATCCTGACGTCGCGTATCATAGATAAGCCTGTAAAAAAAGCCCGCACAAAATGCTTGTGAAGAATTGACCTTATCTACTCTCAGTGGCCAGTGAAAGAGGCAATACACTCCAGGTACTGTACTGTCTGACTGTACTGTACTGTACTGTCTGACGTCACGGCGGATTCACTGCCTTTAATCTTGAAGACCCAGTTATCCTCATTCCTAGTGCAAGGTAACCACTTTGGGACAGGGCCGAACTATCCACAAAAATCAGAATAGTTTTATAACGCTCCCTCAGCATACTTCCGGTAAGGTAGATGTTAGGTTTTTTGCTGCACAGTAAGGCTTGTTTGTATGAGAGTTCAGTACGGATTTTCAACGCTGATATTACCGTCGATGGTGGCATGGTTTATCCTAACGATGTGGGACATAGGCTTTAGGGCTTGACAACCTCACACAGCTTCACTCGAAAAGAGACCGAATCTTACGGTTATAGAGAGTTCTTCAGTCCTATAGCTCTTGGTGATCCGCCGAAGAATGTATTTGTGACTTCCTTGCAATATCTCACTGGAACATTCAATGGGCATTTTTTCACATCGAATTTGAAGCTTGTAGCATGTGGGGCAACCTGTCCGATATAAGTTTGCATAAGGACGAGATGGCATAGTGCTGAGAGCGCGAATTTACTGACCGGAATGTTCGTGGTTCGAACCCGACCTCCGCTTCTCGACTTTCCCTGTCTAGGCTTGGGCAACCTGGCAGTATCCCAGCCCTGGTACAACCTTCGGGTGGCATGGCAGCTAGGCCATGAAAGGGTTTTACAACTGAACGATTATTATCTTTTCTACGTTTGCATGGTATCATTTTGCTCCAACAAAATTTCGGCTGTTAAAACTGTCTTGATTTGAAGGCCATGATTGTTCTACTCGTGTTTCTGTGTCCTGATGATATCCTGGCTCTGTAAAATGCAGATGGCGATGAGGCAGCAATTGTCACTCATAAAACGACCATTCTATTCCGAACTCTTAATTTTTCTTGTCTCATAGCTTCCAAGCCGCTGGTTTAATTGAGCCATCTGGAGTTCAAATGCCTTTAGCTGTTTGTTTCCTATTGTGAATCTCGGTACTTTGTTTTTCCTTCCAACTTCTTCAGTCGGTTCTCTGCAAATTGAGTCATAGAGGTCGTATGCTAACGTCACGATAGCTAAACACTGCTTACGTACCTCGCACACCTTTTCCAAAGGGTGAACACTTTCTGTAACGAACTGCCTCATTCGTGCTCCTATCTAAAAGCTGCACTGACTGTTTCTCAACACAATTTTTTTGTTTGAATATTGATAAATAAAACCGCACGACATTGGTCGGTCGCTCTTCGCAGTCATCCAATCACAAACCTCTTTCTTTCATGTCTACTGACTAATCGCCGGCGTCCAATTGACCGATTCTACTTACCCATAGACATTGCTGTTACAGTTTCAGGAAAAGCACCTATGTTGGCCAGTCATCTCGAATTAGTTGGACGGTTGTTAGTCTACCGGTAGAACTCCATTTGCGCACACATGCCCGCTTCCATCCTAGCCACCTATCACTGACATCAATCTTGTCTCCTATTTAGGTCTTCTTGAGCTACACAGTGATTATTGACAGTTTTCCAACTTTGTTTTCCTGTTAAACAACTGTTCACTTTGTTCTTTGTTTGCCACAAATGGATGAACAACGCCCTTAAGGTTTTGAATAGGTGACCCGGTTCGATGGTTGCAACACACATGGAGGGAGCGTCGCGGACTCAGTTATTAGATGGATTTAACGTCTCTTAAGTTTGATTGAGGGTTGTGTTTTCAGTCGTATTGGAGTATACACAAGAGAGACCAGTGATAGGAAGGTGTGTTTGATTTCCTGAAGTGGGGCCGATTGTGTTTGGTCTCTGCACGCATCTTGGACCACACATGACTACCGTGGAGTGTGACGTTTTAGCCTAATGAAAATCACACACACGCACAGAGTTTTGTTCACTGCGAATCTTGTCTTGATGGGTTTAACATGTATATGGTTGCGAGTACAGGTTTCATAACGCCATAGTCCCTCCTGTGAACTGCCACCATTGTTACCGGAAATAAACTATACCCTTCAGGAACATATATATTCTGCGGCATTTTGAATGCCGTACCAACATGAGGGGCCGTGTGTGTAGCACATTTATTTAAAGAATATCATAAACGAGAGTTTCGTCTGGGGTTCATTCGATCCTCCTGTCAAAACTTTATAAGATCTACAGCGTTCAGTTGATGAGACCCATCCCACGCGTGTGCGTTCGACAGGATATAGTCTCTCTTAGAGCCTGTCTTTACCGTCGCTTGGATAAGTAGCAACAGACATTTCTTAAGGTGATGAAAATGGGTATTGGTGATGATCACCTGCTTAAGGAAGGCGAAGTTCATGACCTGACCCAATTCATCCCAGTGTGTGGCCTGTCTCGCCGTCCCCTTGGGTCTAATTAAGACTCGTGGGTGTAAAGAGCTACCACACTCAAGTTCACGGGGATATCTGTGAAGCGACTCACCGGAAGCTTTAGGGATATAAGATTCCAAGAATGGTTACAACAATAGCGACGCTGTGGGTCCCTGAGTTGTCCGATGATCCGCTGTGATGGATCCAGCGCGAACCGTCTGACCCAGGAATCTGGGTTCCTCGTGTTCCAGAGGTGGCTCAGTGGCTAGAGCACGAACTTACTGACCGGAATGTCCGTGGTTCGAACCCGACCTCTGCCTTTCGACTTCCCCCGTCTAGGATTGGGTAACCTGGCAGTATCCCAGCCCTCGTGCTTCCTTCTGGTGGCATAGCATTTGGCCACTGAAAGGATGCTACATCTGAATGATGATGATGCTGTTCCAGAGTCAGGTGGCCGAGTCAGTTTGGGCAGCAGCATTCTAACAACTATTGAAGAATTTCTCTCCTACATCGAGAACCCTAGCTCGCTTCCTGGTCACAGCGGGCTTTGGGCAAGCAGACGATTCATCGCCTTTAGGGAAGCCGTAAGATGAACGGAATTGTTTAAAACAGTACCACCGAAGTTTCATGTAGGTTTGTTGTGGATTGCATCCCTAGCGGCATCGGCTTTTGATAGAGCTCGCATCTCAAGACAACCAAGTGAAACCTGCAACGCAGCAGGGGTAATCAGCAATGTTAGCATGGCCATTGAATTCAGAAACTAATCTCATCCACCCAGTCCACTGGAGCTTGTCTATTTCTTAGCTGTTGTTACTATGGAGTCCCTGTTTAATCAGTCTCTCCAGAGGGACAACTTATGAACCGTCGAACCAATTACCCGCTCAGGTTGGCACGAAAAGGCAGTGAATAGGACATTCTCAACAGAGACCTAAGTTAAATGGGTGCACTCCAAAGGAGCGAAGTGGGCGACATTACTCGTTTCCGAAGCAAAAATACCATTCCTTCCTTCGGACCGACTATTTTTTGGTGTTCGATTGTTTGGTTGGCTGTATAGCTTTTTCTGCGTGAATGTAATCTCGGTTCGGAAGTCAGAAATGTGATATGCGAAGCGAAGGAGGCTTCATTATTCACTATCTTTATAAACCAGTTGTTTTAGATAGTGACCCGTGAACATCCTCTAACCCAGAACAATCGATTTTGAAAATGAAAGTAACCGAGACTGATTGGTTGGATTATCACGTTGTAAATAATCCTTCAGTAATTTTGCTATCTTGGAAGATAACTCCCAAGTTCTGGAACGGCCATCTAGATTGATTCTACAAATCCGTCTGAAAATGTCGTCTGCGTTTGCTCTACTTTGTTACTTTCGAAATTGTGGTTGAAGTCCCAATCACCAACAATAATCATCATCATCATCAACAGCATGACATCAGTGTTCAACACTGGTGCTTCACTGCCGTACAA